CCCACCCACCCCAACCTTTTACACACCCCTCAGCCTAGCCTTGATCCAACTAGGGAAACTGTGGAGTCCCTTTGCAAAACGAAAGGGTCTAGAGAACAACATGGGAGTGGACTGGGGTCTTGCTTCAAAATCAGAACCACGACACAATTATTTTTTCACCGTCAAAGGAATAGTTCTGGCTATTTCTTCTGGAAGAGAGGAAAAATGATCCTAAAGAAAGCAATACAAATCTGACTAAAGCCTTTATCCAATAAAGTGCACAGAGCAGTCAAGCTAACTCCTAGCACAACCCCCATCCCAATTAACACAAACACTCCACCCCTCCCTAATCAACTCTTAAGGTCACAGATAGTTTGGAGCAGGCCCACCAACCATAAGAAAAATAAGAAATATTTCATAGCAAGCATTGATTCAGTGTTCATTCTGTGCCACGCACTGTACTAAATGCTTTGCATAAATTATCTCATTTTTCCCTATCTACCTTGGAGGTTTATATTGATATTTAAATTTTCTAGATGAAGAATATGATGCTTTGAGAGGTAGTGACCTTTCTAAACCCTAAAAGCCACTAAATAGTAGAACTGACATTAGAATCCGGGTCTGCCTTGAAATCCCAAACTCTAAGGCACAGAAAAGCAGACAACTATTTTTTCTAATACCATCACCAACTCCTTAATAGGCTTAATAAAGAAGGGTAGTTATAACTATCAATTAAACACTTCGCCCCAAAATGGGGTGCCACAAACTGATCCACCTACACAGAATGAAGACCCTAACTTTTCAGACTAACGCAGTACTGTTTCTTGACCCTTTTCCCTAGTTTGGGGACTGGAGTGGGCCCTCAGTTTAATAAGGGGATGTCAGGGATGGGCTGGTGTGTTTCCCAACAAACAACTCTCCTGGGGACAGCTGTCTTGCAGCTACTCCCACTTCCAACTCTAGATGGGGAGGGGAAGGTCCAGGCAGTGCAGCAGGTGAAAAAGTAAAAAGACTTGTAGGAGGCTCTTTCAAGGGTAAAGGGGCCTTGGAGAGGAAGCTCTTCCGTGACAATCTAGAGCAGGGTCCTCTCAGCCCTGCAAAGAGACAGTCTTTCAGCGACACCACACCCGTACACCTCCACCTCACAAAAATCCAGGCCAGGGTTTCCCACCTGCAGGATGCTAAGGCCAAGGGAAGGGAGAGGAGAAAGAGATGGTACGGAACTGAAACTGGACTCGGGTTAGAGGTGGGAGGGAAGGGAAAGCGGCGGAGGCCTCATTGCCTGGCAACCATCCCGAGGCACGTGCACTGGTGACATCATCCTAGGCCACCTCTAACACGGACCTTTGACCCCGGTGGGGACGGAAGGGCCCGCTGGCTGAGCTTCCTGGGAAATAGCCTTAGGGATTCTGGGAACCTAAAAAGGAGACGGAGGGAACCCAAGTGTCCTGTCATTATCTCTTTTAGTCGGGTCTAAGGCCCTTGGCCCCCCCGGCCTGCCTCCTCCTCTCCGCCTCCAGCCGCGACCTCCCAACCTATATTTCTGACTGGAGTTTGGACACGCCCCTCAGAGACACTGTGCCTTCTCTGTAGTGTAAAGATCTCTAGCGGGGCGAGAGCTGGGGTACAGGGTACCGGGTCCAGAGGGGCACTGTGTCCTACCATTGAGATCCCTGGTGCCCCCGCTGGCCGCCAGTCGGAATCTCTTTGGGTCCCCAACACTCGCGCCCCTCCCGCGCTGTTTCAGGGCGGAGTCTGTGGAGTTGAAATCAGGACACGCGAGAGGAAGAGTTATATAACCCTGAGAAGCGGAGAAGGGCGAGTGGAGACGAGGACAGACAGCCCGAAGGGAGCCAAAGGAGGTGCAACGAACTCCTGGGCGACTGAAGAGGCAGCGTTAGGGATGGGAAGGGCTTTAGTGTACATCAAAGAATAGGATTTCAAGCGAAGAGTTGGCGTGACGGCCCAGTAAAAGCCACCGGGCCGTCCCGGGCTTTCCCGCAGCAGCGTCCCCCCTGGACAGCTGCAGGGCCCAGGCGGGTGAAGCCTCGGAAAAAGGTGCTGATACACACTCTTCCCCTGGGGGAAGCAACCAAAGCCGGAGCCCGGGAAGGCCAGCAGCTAAGCAGATGGGGCCGGATGCCACAGCCCCGCCCAGCCCACCTGGGAGTACAGGCGCCAGCTGGGGGCAGGGCGGTGCGAAACAGGTAGCCGCCCTCCCAGGCCAGGCTGGACTTTTACAGTCGAGATGTCCTGAGAGAGCGCAGACCGACCCAGACGTTTACGCCCTCAGGGGTTGAGGAGCACTGCCACCGACTAGTTTGCAAAAACAGGCTCAAGACTTGGGGTGGGGGTGGGGGGCCCTACTTGCCGCGCAGGCGCAAGGGGGTGCTCGGGCGCGTGCGGCGGAGGCGGGTGGGCGCGAGCGTGTGGGAGCGCACGTGCGGGTCCCAGGCAGCCACCTCCTCCCCTCTCGTTCTTCCTGTAGCTCTATAATATCCGCTTCCCATTGGCTACTAGGGTCCTAGCGTCAGCGGCATCAGCTTCATCGGATTGGACGTAAGAAGAGCTCGGGAATCTGGCTCCCCAAGTCTCGTACGCCAGTTACTCTGGCAACAGGGCCAGCAAGCTTGGAGAGGGACTAGACTTGAGCGCCCCGCCTGGGTCCCGCCTCCGTCCACAGAGGCTCGGAGTCCACTTCTGCTGTGCCTCAGTTCGCTGCCTTCCCTCCTTCCTCCCAAGGTTCTCTGTGCCCGGGGACAAGCCGTCCTGCGCTCTACCTTCTCCATCGTCCCCATGCCGAGACACAGCCACAAGCTACAGTAGACGGGAAGCGAATCTGCGTTGCTTAGTAACCAGCTCTCTAGTCCCCCCCCTCCCCATTATTTACCCCAGCCGGGAGAGGCGGAGACTCAGTCACCCCTCCTCCCTTCACCCTCCAGCCCAGAGTTTCCTGCGAGGGGGCCCAGACGACGGGAAACCTAAGGAGGGCTCTCGGCACACCTCTCCCTCAGGCCCAGGCCAGGGGCTTCAGCTGCTTTCACCCACAACCTCCACCCTACCCGCACGCCTGCGAGCTCAGGCTGTGCGTCTCAGCCTCGCCATCTCGTGGCTACACTGGGAAGGTTCAGCTCGGAGAAGAGCCCGAGGCTGGCGAGGGCTACAAAACTAGCGATCACAGGGAAGGGGCAGAACTAGGGAGCAGGCAAGCCGGGTGAGGCCTAGTGCAGGAGGCTGCGGCGGGCGCGGGGCCGCTGCCGGGGCGCTGTGGGCTCCCGCCGGGAAGGTGAGCGCGGAGACTACGCCCCCCACCCGTGGGAGGAACTGGGGAGTCCGTGGTACACCCCTCTCTAACCACATGTGACCTCGACAGGCCATCGCACTGACGTGTCTGCCAACTCTGCCGTTTCGCCTCGCCCTTCAGTCAGGACCGCCACGCCACGCCCCGCCCTAAGGACGGGAAGGGGAATGCCAGCCCAAGGGGGACTGGGAATCCTTTCAGGCCCTTCTTGACATCTGGAGCCCAAGAGCTCTGCCTCAACAGTTCTCCCTCATCCCCACCCTGCCTCTTCCTGGGGACCCGGATGTCCTGCGCTCCAGTCTTCCCAGTGCTTCTCCCTGGACCCAGACACCCCCCCAGTTCTGCCCCTACTGAGACTCTGACGTCCCGCCCCCCTGTACGGAGATGGTTTCCCTCTTTCTGGACACCCTAGCTGTTCCCCGTTACCTGGTTGTGGGAGGGTCCCAGGTGTTCAGGCTCCCCAAAGTCTCCTGGGGGTCGAGCGGCCCCCCCGTCTCCCTGGCGGGGTCTGGGGGGGCCGCTCCGCCCAGTGGCGCAGTTGGATTTTCCAACACAAACACCCGCACCCCCCAGCTCTGCCGGCCCCGCCCCCTTCTCGTGGTCCCGCCCCTCCTCGCGCTGAGGCCCTTTCTCCAGCTCCGCCCCGCCTCTGGCCGGTCTAGCTGGCCCGGCAGCCGGGCCAAGTAGGAGGCCGGGGGCGGTGGCGAGGTTCAGGTTGCAGCGCATGGGGTCCGCCTCTGATCCCCGCCTAACACATCCCTTTTCCATTCAGATCCCGCGCCCTTCCGAAGTAAGCCCCGCCCCACCGGCTCAAATCCTGCCCGGAGATTCAGCCACACCTTCCATAGGCCCGCCGCCCTGCCCACTGGTCCAGGGCCCCGCCTCCTTTCCGCTCAGGGCTGGCCCACTTCGCTCCTTTCCACTTGCAGTAGCTGCTCAGCAGCAGTTCCTGTCTTCTGTATATGCCGGGCTTCTTCCCTCCCTGAATCACCACCATTCCACTGAGAGACTTAGAGCTTGTGGTCACGGGAGTTTTTACTGCACTGAGCTCTAATACAACTCTTGCAACATTATGGCTAGACCACTGGGATCTCCAGGGCCCCTCGGACAGTTCAGCCAAGTCAAAGCCTAAATGAAATCCAGCCTCAGTCCAAGATGCATTATCAGCCTTAGTTCCCAGAGTCCTTGCCTCTCTCTCAAGCAAGGGAGAAGAGGAGATCTCCTCAGCTGTCCAGGCTCATAAGTAGAGCAGTACCCCTCTTGATCCAGTGATCAGATGTCATGGCCCCAGACCGGAGGTCAATGCCGATGACAAAGGAGGCCCGGTCCGTGCTGCCTGCCCGGTTGGGATAGTAATAGCAGGGACAAGAGTACATGCCTGGAGGGAAGGAGAGGAAAAAAGTCAGACCCCTGTGGCCTCTTGTGGAGAGCTGGGCAGGAGCAGGTGAGGACTAGAGCAGGGAACAGGTTAGGATCCAAGCAAGGGCCTGGGCATGGCAGTGTACGCCTGTGATCCCAGCACTTGGGAGACTAAAGCAGGAGGACTGCTGAGAGTTTGAGGCCAGCCTGGGCTGTACAGTCAGTTCAAAAGCCAGCCTGTACTACATAGTGAGACCCTGTCTCAAGAAAACTAAAAAAGAAAAAAATCCAAGCAAGGGACAGGACAGGCAGGTCTCAGGGAGCTGTCCCACCCTTGGCACTCTTCTTGCGGCTCTCTGCAGGACGAAAGTGGATGGTGGGCATGAGACAGACCAGCTGCATGGGCTCTGCCTCCACCAAGCAGGAGTTCTTCCGGTCCCAGCCAGCACCCTCCAGGTAAAGGCCCCGAACCCAGACACCATCCTGAGGGAAGATGGGGACAGGTTTAGGGGAAGCCTAGACCCTAAGCTGCTGCCACCCCTGATCTAACTTGTGTTCTCTCTTCTCTTCCCACTTTGTTCCACTTTGCCCCCACCGCTCTCCCCCACCAGCTCCTCTTTTGCCCAAATGCCCAACTTCATGCAACTTCTACCTTTGGTGGATACACTAGGTTGCTGTCATCCACAGTGGAAACGATAAACTCCCAAGAGAGGCTGTCCACTGAAATCTGGGGATTAAAGATGAAAATGAGGGAGATCCCCAAAGATGAAAGCCAATATGTGTTCTCAGCACCCGGCCCCTTCCCTTTCCGCGTCACTCACATTGTTTTGGCGAGCTGAAGACTGCAACACTGCAGTGAGGAAGCCTGTGGGAAAGGTGAAGCCAGACAGCCAGAAAATCACAGGAGGCCGGGCACGACTGGCCCACAGCTCAAACTGCTCCACACGCATGGCCAGGTCCCGGGTCCATGAAGCCAGTGGCTTTTGTGAGGGATATGCCTGGGAGGAGAGGCAGTGTGTGTTCACTCACCACATCATGCAGCCAGATCCTTATTTTGAAGACCAACAGCAGCTACTAGCCCATTATATATTATAGTCCCTGCTCTTCAACTGTGAACGGGCAAACCTCTCCAAAGCCAACTTCCAGGAAAGAAACATAAAATGGAAAGTATTTATTAATAACAATAGCATCAGTAAAGATTGAGTATCCCTTATTCAAAATGCTTGAGGCCAGAAGTGTTTCAGATTTCAGAGTTTTTCTGATTTTGAAATATTTGCGTAGACTACCAGTTGAGCATCCTACTCCAAAAACTTTTCTTTGAAGATGAGGTCTTTCTTGTTAGAGCCGGGTGAAGTGGCACATGCCTGTACTCCCAGCACTGGGAGGCTGAGGCAGGAGGATTGCCATGAGTTTGAGGCCAACCTGAGCTAGTAAGTTCAAGGCACGCCTGAACATGAGACATAGTAAGACCCTGTCTAAAAAAAAAAGAAAAAAAAAAGATGAGATCTTGTTAAATTGCTTAGGCTGGCCTTAAGGTCATGATCCTCTTGTCTCAGACTCCCAAGTAGCTTGGATTACAGGTATGTGCTAGTATGCTTGGCCAAAAACTGAAACTTTTTTTAGTATCATGTTGGCACTTAAAGTATCAGATTTGGAGCATTTCAGATTTTCAGATGTTCAACCTGTAATATTCACCAGAGTAATGAGGCATCTATTGAGTATTGTAATATTGTATTGTATCTATTGAGTATTGTAATATTCACCAGAGTAATGAGGCATCTATTGAGTATTGTGTCTAGTATTGTGACTCCTCGAAATATCCTTGGGGAGATTATTACTTGCCCTGAATAATTACTTGCCCCACTAAGTTATGCAGTCAGTCAGTGAATGGCAGAGACAGATTTCAACCTCAAACTTGTCTAGCTTCGAAGCCCAGACCATCTGCAGGTTGTTCTATGCTCCCCAGAGCCAAGAGATGAGGGGGCTCATGATGAGACAGGGCTCATTGTTCCGCACTAAGAGGATTCACAGTGGTATCATCTTACCTTTCCCCAGAGTGGAGGAACATGGGCATCAAAGATGCAGTTGAAAATCTCTTCCAGGCTGGTCGACATGACAATGAGGCCCTGGATGCCCTTCTCAAGGTCTGTCAATGACAACCTGAGCAGGATGAAGTGGACAGAGCGCTGGAGATGGCACGGCGCTGGGAGGGCCATCGCAGCCAGGGGGAGGGCCTTCCCACTGCCCCCTCCCACATTCTGCAGGGCCCCTCTCTTACAGGATGGTCTCCATCAGCTTGTTGTATCTCTGGATCTCCTGCAGAAGGACCACATTGAGCGGGGAGGGATCGAGAGCCAGCAGTTTTCGGGTTCCCTCATAGTCAATCATCTCGGGGATCTTCTGCTTCACATCAGCAGCCAGCTCAAGAACCTGAGAGGGCGGAGGCTCTGAGCGCAGCCCTGTCTTCCTCAGCACTCCCTGGCTCTGCAGCGGTACGGTTAGTTCTCACCTTCTCTTCCCGGCTCTGGCCGCCAGCGCTGGTGGGTGTGATCTGAGGCTGCAGGGAAAGCAGGGTCTCAAACAGAGTTCGTGCCTCAGTTATCTGGGAGGCCACATCGGCATTGGGGTGTTGGCCGAAGGCCTCAGGGGGGTCCATGCCGGGCAACAAACTGATGTACTCCTTGTAAGAGGACAGGCTTCCATCCTTGGGGATGAAGTAGGTCTCCAGTGCTGACAACCTAGGGGGCACAGTGTACCTGTCACCGCATGGCGGGGACTCGGGCTTCCATTCCAGGGCAAGACCCCAATCCCTATGTATGTTCTGTTTAGGATGACCTGTCTCTTGCTTCCCCTCCCAAGCCCACAACCTCTGTCTTCCCCCTCCCTGATATTCTCTCCCCAAACACTTCCCCTGTCCCCATCCTGCCACCTGCTTTGTTTGTGTCTTCTAATGCCCTGCTCCCTGCCACCTCCCGCTCACCGGTAGGAAGGAGTTGATAGAGCCTGGTCACAGAAATAGTCATTGATGTAGGTGGTGAGCAGGCGCCTGTCCCAGTCGTCAGTGACGTGTCCACCGTAGTTGACGCCGGCAATGAGGTACTTGAGTGCATCCCAGGCTGTCTCCTCGTACTCATCCAGATAGAGGCTCAGCAGGTTCTCAGACACCTGTGTGTGGTCCCCACCCACATCCCAGCCCCACGCGTTACAGGAGGACTTCTGCCAATGGCACTTTTCACAGGGGCTTTCCATCAGCAGGTATTCCTACAGGGGAGCCATGGGGCAGGAAATGTAGGGAGAAAGGGCTGGGATGAAGGACCCCTGGTTAGCACAAACCTCAAAGTCAGAGTCATTGAAGCCATAGATAATGTTCCAGCCAAGCTGCAGGAACTTTTTGCGTTCCAATAATATAGAGTGAAAGAAACAGAGTGCAAACAGCAGCTTCTTATATTTGGCAGGTTTGGAGCAGCGGGTAAACTGTGGCTCTGTCATCAGTTGGTAAAGACGTGTCATGTTGGCCTTTAGACCCTGGGGACAATACAGGGCAGAGGTGGGGTGACATGCATCACGCTTAGCCCTGCAGGATCACAACCATGAACAGCTGTAGAGGTTGTTCACAGCACAAAGGTACTGGCTGAAGGGCTGAATGAAGGCTGAAATCACACTCTTGATCTTATGTGGAGATGAGCACTTATCTACAAGGATGGGTTAGCCACATAGGAAAAAATAAGATTACAGGCCTGGGGATTTTGCTCAGTGGCCCAGTACTTCCCTAGCATGTATGAGGCCCCAGGTCCCATCCCCAGCACAGCAAATAAATAAATAAGATAAAATTGTGTCCCTACTTCATACTATACTTATAAAAATCAACTCCAGAGTGACAGAAAAATGTAAATGTGAATGTCAAAACTATACTTTTTTGGAAAACAAGCAAGCATAGAAGAATATTTTATGGTTTTTTTTTTTTTTTTTTTTTTTGGTCTTTTGTTGAGACAGGGTCTCGCTGTGCAGTTCAGGCTGGCCTTGAGCTCACTTTGTAGCCCAGACCAGTCTCGAACTCACAACAATCCTCCTGCCTCAGCCTCCTGAGTGCTGGGATTACAGGTGTGCACCACCACACCTGGCTAGAAGAATACTTTAATAATCTTGGAGTAAAAAAGGATTTTTTTGAACAAGAAAGAAGTACCAATCATTTATAAAAAGCTAAATTAAACCTTAAGAGTTAAGAATTTCTATTCACTAAAAAATAAAGTAAAAAGGCAACAAAACACATAACTGACCAAGGGCTGGGATCCAGAACGAAGGAAGAAGAGGAAATGTAGGGACGGGCACAAAAGAGTCTCAAGTGTGTAATACTCAGTGGGAAAAGCAAGTTGCAGAGAAATGTGTAGCAGAGATGCGTTAGCGATACAGACTTTTGTGTCAAAGTGATAAAGGAAAGGACAAAAACAACGCATAAGTAGTGGCTTCGGAGTGCGGAGGGTAGATGATGAGGTTGATAGTATTGGGAGGAGCTACACCTGTGCTGCAGGAAACACTAACATTCTGCTTCCCGAAACAATGATGGGGGGAGAGGCGAGGGGGCAGCACAAGGCCCCGGATTTGCTGTCCAGAGCCACCCCCACACACACATGCAGAGTAGCAAGTACTGTATTCATTGAATGGTGATCCTTTATGTCTTGCATATATTGTATAAATATTTGTGTTAAGTAAATACAAGTATTACCTACTTAATATCTAATATATACAAAAAAATAGATAGCAAGAAGCAATCCAGGTACACATTCCAGGACCTTACTCAACTTGGTAACCGGCTGTGCTTCCGGGGACTTTTCCTGGCCCTTCAGTGCAGGGGTGTGGCACCCAGGGCCTGCAGCGGGCCAGTGCTCTGCCACAGCTGCTGCCGACGCCTGCCCTCAGCCCAGTGGCTTTCTTTTTTTTTTTTTTTTGTCTTTTTGAGACAGGGTCTTGCTATGCAATTCAGGCTGGCCTCTGTGTGGCCACAGAGAGACCAGTGCAATAGCAAGGGGAGCAAAATGTTAACAAAGAACATATTTTGGTAAAATAGGTGTGTGGGTTCCCTTTTCTCCTTTTTTAAAAATTGTACTGGGGATTGAACCAGTACAACCAGGGCCTTTGCACTGAGCTGTATTCTCAGTTCTTTTTAAAATTTACTTTTTATTTTGAGACAGGGTAATCCTTAAATCCCCAAATTGCCCTGGCTGTGTGGGGAGATAAAGCAGAAGGATCACTTAGTGATTTAGTGAGACCCTGCCTCAAAAAAAAAGAGGTGAGAATGCAACTTATGCAGAGGCCCTGGGTTCACCCCAGCACTGCAAAAAAAAAAGTTTTCTGTTATGCTGGTGACAGATTTCCAGATTATTTGACATTTAAAATAGGGATATAGAATCTTTTTATTGGCTGAAAAAATAAAGGTAAATAGCAATCAACTTTAAACTTTTTTATTTAAAAAAGTGTAGTGCCAGGAACAAAATGGGACAGTAAGATAATCTGTGGTGGAAGGATGAACAATCTGTTTTAAGGGTGTAGGTCTTAGGGCACTAGTACACCAAGAAGGGCTTTGTCAGATGGTGACTGGTCTCCAGAACTGAGCTTGGTACTAGAGTCAGACGTGGGGGTTTGGAGCTGAAATCACAAGGACAGTTTCTCCATAACCTTGTGAAAGGAGGAAATGTAGAACGAGAAAAGTTGGTAGTCAAGGAATAAGTCTTAAGACAGAGTCACAGACAAAGAGGAGAAAGAAACACAGAAGTAATAAATGATGTGTCAAATGTGAGAAAGAAGCCCGGCATGCTGGTACACATTCATAATCTGAGCATTCTGGGAAGCTGAGGCAGGACGATCTGCAAGTTTGATGGCAGCATAAGCAATTTAGCAACTTAGTGAGACCCTGTCTCAAAAAGCACAGTAATAATAACAAAGGGCCTGGGATGTAGCTTAGTGTGAAGGCCCTGGTTTATTCCCCGGCATCAACAGCAAAAAGGGAGAAAGGAAGGAGCACTGTGTCTGGATCACAGGGAAGGGGAGGTCACCTGTGCCAAGCGCCCCAGGCTGGCCAAGGATGGGTGGCAGGATGAGAGGAGCCCAAGCGTGCATTTGGACAGCACTTATCTGTTGAGTACCTACTACCTATTGGTCCCTGAGCTTTGCACATAGTGTGCAAAGGGATCTTAAAAGCAACAAGAAGCTTCCAAAATAACTTGAGTAAGGGGAGACATAGGTGGGATGTAGTGACATGAGCAGATTTTTAAAGGATCTGTATCACTGAATTCAATAGTGACTTTGTGATACTGCAAATAAAGCTTTTTTTTTTTTTTTTTTTAAAAAAAAGAGGGTCTCACTGTGTAGCCCAGGCTGGCCTCAAACTCATGGCAGCCCTCATGCCTCAGCCTCCTGAGTGTTGGGATTGCAGGTGTGCGCCACCACACCCAGCCAAATAAAACTTTCAGAGGAGATCAGTCACACTCAGGGTCGTATGGCTGTAGACCCAGCCAAATAAAACTTTTAAGAGAGGAGAGAAGGACAGAGGATGAGGCTGGAGTCTGGGAAGTGTGACTTTAGGAAGAGAAGGTAAGGGAAATGGGGGGGAAAATATTTCCTTGGTGTAAAATAATGAATGTGAGGACCCACGTTCTGGTTCAGGATTATTCACTCTGTGCTCCAGTTTCCTATCTGTAAAATGGGCTAGTGGTTCTTACCTAATAGCCTGCATGTGCATGTGAGTGGGTGTGTTAAATCAGTTAATAAACATAAAGAACTTAGAACAGTGGTTGGCACATAATAATCATTCAAGAACAGGGTGTGGTGGTGCACGCCCGTAATCCCAGCATTCAGGAGGCTGAGGCAGGAGTTTCACTGCAAGATCAAGGCCAGCCTGCCCTACACAGACAGTTCAAAGCAAACCTAGAAAACAGAGCAATACCCTGTTTTGTTTTGCCTTTATTTTTTTGCACCAGAAATCGAACTCAGGACCTTGCACTTGCCAGGCAGGCGCTGCACCACTGAGCTATATCTCCAGCCCAAAACCCTGTCTTGAGAAAGAAAAATCACTTAAGAAATGTTAGATATTGAGCTAGGGATGTAGCTCAGTGACAGGATGCTTGTCGAGCAGGCCTGAGCCCTGATTTTGATACAAGCACACACAGTGTGCACACGCACACAGGAGAAGAAGTTAGATGCTGCTATTATCATTGGCACAAAGAAGAGAGAACTGAAGTAGAATTTTGGAAAGGAAAACACATTCAAAGCTGTGCTATTTTTAAAGCTAAGACCTCTCTCTGGCCTGCTGTGGTGGTGCATGCCTGTACACTCACGAGGTTGAGGCAGGAAGATCTCAAGTTCAAGGCTAGCCTGGGTACATAGCAGGACCCTGCCTCAACTAAACAAAGCAGACACCTCTCTCTGATCGTAGCGGGAGGGAAAATCAGACCACGGATCAGGTGACCCGGCTGATGCCAGCTTTGTACAGACCCCCGTACCTTCGGGGGCTCGGTGGTCATCTTGATGCTGGCCTGCAGGATTGAGATAGGGAAGTCTGGGTGGGGGCTGGAGCTGAGCCAGAGACGGAAGGCAGGGTGAGGGTCCTCCACCTGCAGCTGCTCCACCAACTTGTCCAGGTTGGGCATCCAAGATAGGGACAAGTGGCAGTTTGCCAGGAACACCCAGTGCCCTGCAAGAAGAAGCCGAGGACAGCAGGACTCATTCCCTGCTCCCCCCAACCCCCGGTCCCCATGCTCTCCATCAGGTGACAGGGGACGGTGTGCTCCGCTCAAGCCTGCTGCCCCTCGGGCCTGCTGGAAGAGAGGGACCTGTGGTCATTTAGGAATGGAGGTGGGGGTGAACGAGCAGACGGACACTGACCCTTGCTAACACCGTCTCTGAGGAGCCGAGCGGCAATGGGGGCCTGGCCCTGGCCCAGGGAGAGGGCGTGGAAGCGCTGGGCCATGCCCGTGTGCTCTGCCAGCTGGAGCAGGGCACTGGTGGGGTCCACTCCTGGGGACAGGATGAATACGAGCGGGGTTCGTGGCGTTGAGTCCTCCATCACCTGGAAGCAGGGAGACACCTCAGGCAAAAGCCACGCAGCCCAAGCGGGGAGAGAGGAGGAGTCCACAGAGGAGCGCGGAGGCAGGGAGCCCGGCGTGCGCGGAGGCAGGGCCACTGACCAGCTTCATGTTCAGCACGGGCGGCTCAATGAAGCGGGAGCCAAGGTTGGAGACGATGAAAGAGGTGACACAGAATGCCACCCGGTCCTGGCGCAGGGAGCGAACGATCAGCATCCGCTGCATTTCATTGCAGGCGTTTTCCCACTCACCTGGGCAGGAGGAGAGCAGCGGCAGGGAGAGGAGTCAGGAAGAGCCAGGAATTCAAACACAGGAGCGGGGTGGAGAGTGGAGGGACTGGAGCCCAGGCTGGAGGGGAGGAGAAAGACACGGGGGAGGGGCTCCAAGCCTGGGCACCTGGCAACATGGCCTTCTCCGGAGTGGCGTTGGTGTACCACAGGTGCCAGTCCCGGGGGTACTGCTCGAAGGAGTTCATGAGTCCGTGGAAGTTGGTCAGTTTGTCCAGCTCTGTGATGTTATCCCAGTAGGCATCTGCAAGCCAGCTAGTGCACGGGTTGTCCATCTGACCCTCCCGATCTAGGACCTTGCGGGGAACCACAGGGAGAAGAGGGTTGACCAGAATGTGTCAAGAGAAGAGTTATTGATTTTGAAAGTTCCCAGCACAAAGACATGACAAACATCTAAGCCGACGAGTATGCCAGCTACCGTCATCTGATCGTTACGTGCTGTTATTATATATGCACTGAAGTGTCACCCATCAGGTCACTGTACCCCATAAATGTGTACAGTTATGATGCTGATGATTGAAACTAGGGCCTTGCACATACTAGGCGAGCATTCTACCACAGAGCTACACTCCCAGCTCAAAGCGTGTATTTGTAAAAAATTTTTGAGACAGCGTCTTGTTAAATTGCTACATTGCCCAGGCTGGCCTTGAACTTGCAATCCTCCTGCCTCAGCCTCCCAGAATGTTGGGATTTGAGGCGCGCATAACTAACCTCTCCCAGCATCTCTTTTTTTCCTTCCTCCCTCCCTCCCTTCCTCCTTCCCTCCCTACTTCTTTTCTGGGATAAGCAAGCCAAAACGGTCTTGCATAAAACAAAGTGAATACAAAGATGAATCCAAGATGGATAGACTCCACCTTTCCCGTGGGATAAACTGGGTGGAATGGGTGGGTGAGACGGGTGGGTGGGATGGGTGTGGGGCAGTGCTGGGGCGCTGACAGGACTCATGCTACCGGGAGCTATTCGTTGATCTTTAGGAAGCTTGCGCCCTCTGGTGGACTTTTGGTAATAATGTCTCCATCCCCTAATGACTTGGTAGCCTCTCCCTGTTTGCTTATCCTCTTTTAACCAAAAAAAAAAAAAAATTTTTTTTGCAGTGTTCACAGATGCTAGGCAAGTGCTCTGCTACTGAGCTATATGCTCCGCCTCTAAGGTTTTTGTTTTGTTTTGCTTTTAAGCTGGGGTATTGCTATATTGCCCAGGCTGGCCTCTCCAGCTCAGTCTTTGGGATTTAGGGGTAGGGTGGGGGTCGGGGGAGTTTAAGACAGGGTCTTGCTATGTAGTCCTGGCTGGCTTTGAACTCACTTTGTAGTGTAGGCTAGCCTCGAACTCATGGCAACCCTCATGCCTCAGCCTCCTGAATGCTGGGATTATAGGCATACACCATCATGTCTGGAAATTCTGGAATTTTTGATAAATACAAATATTTTTGATAAATACAAATACATGTTGTTTACCAACTATATGTTTTAAACATTTTGGGTGCATCATGGAAAGAACTGCACAAATATTTCTGCCCTTGAGGAGCCTTTTTTCCAACATGGAATTATGAACCTACGGGCAGATTATGCACCAAAAACATAACCAATACAAGTAAATGAATTATGTAGTAGATTAAAGATGGCAGTGTTGTGGAAAATAGAATAAACTGAGGAAGGGAATGAGACTGGGAGTCTGGGAGGGAGGGCAAAGTACTGAATAAGAGCAAGGGCTGGGGGTGTAGCTCTGCAGCAGAGCACTTGCCTAGCATGTCTGAGGCCCTGACCCCAGCCGGAAAAGGAGGGGGAGGAAGAAGGGGAGGGAGGAGGAGATAACCCAGAAAGCTTTCCTGGGATGAGGCTCAAAGGAGGTGGGAGAGGCCTGGGTCGCATGGGGGATGGTGCCGGCCCAGTGCGCAGCCAGGACCCAGGCTCTATAGCGACACTGGCACAAGCCTCTGAGGAAGCTGTGGGGCCTGTGCAGCTGGAGTGGCCGGAGGGCCTGGGTGGGGGGTGATGACATGGTGATGGGGACTCCAGTCAGACTGGGTCCCCGTGAAAGGGCCCTCCCCCCAGGGGCTGAGTGGAAGACTTAGGTCCTGGGGGCCCCTCAAAAGCCGTTGCTGAAATGCAGATGAGAGATGAAGTGAAGGTGGCTGATGGAATAAAACTACTGTCCAGCAGCCCTTGGAGGCTGAGGCAGGAGGATCGCCACGAGTTCAAGGCCAGCCTGGGCTGTGGAGTGAGACCCTGTTTCAAAAAACAAAAACTGCTGTCCAGGAGGGAGGGGCTGCTGCACAGGTGTCCGGCAGCTTCAAGGCCCATTGGAGCCCATGATAACGGGTGGAAAAGGACGCCTGTCGGTCAGCGCAAGTGTGCTTTTCTCCAGCCATGGTCGGCTGCTCAGGCCACACAGGCGCTGAGCAGAAGAGGTGGATCTAGAGTTGTGGTTTTGCCAAGCAAATGCCACGCAGAGAGCAAGGGGCCAAGGAGTGGAGGTGGCTGCAGGGAGAGGCTGTGACGGTGACCGTGGAGTGCAGGCTGGGAAAGGAGCAACGCGATCACAGGCACCCATGCGGCACAGGTGCGCTCCCGCAGCCCCAGGCAGCTCGTGGTGCACCTGCTCCTGGCCTGGTTTTTCTCGGCTCATTTGCTGAAGCCTTGGGCCTGACCCCAGGGCCTGGAGTCCTCCTCACACACGGCCACCTCCCCAGCCTTGACGCCTCACAGTAGGCCGTGCCTGCCGTCCAACTCACCACACCCCCACGCAGAAAGAAGTTGTACTCGTCCATGTTGAGCTTGCCAGAGGTCTCCAGGATCTTGGCGCACATGTGAAAACTGAAGAGCAATTTGTGGCGTTCAAAAAGGGTGCGGCAGGTGTACCTGTGGGAGGGACGGGAAGGATGGAGGGGACCGGTGAGGTCCACAGCGTGCCCAGCACAGACGCTCACCGAGTGGAGAGCCTGTGGCCACACAGCCTCACAGTGAGTAAGGTCTTAGTCAGCATGTAACCCAAACCTCCTGGAAACCTCAGGGGTCCTGAGAGATGACTTTCCCAGAGTTCACTGGTAACTATGCATTCAGTTCCAGAAACAAGAAACAAGACATTAACAGAGTGGGGTGGCACATTCCTTTAATCCCAGCACTCTGGGAGGCTGAGGCATGAGGGTCACAAGTTCCAGCCCAGCCTGTTTCAAAATAAAAAAGGCTGCAGATACAGCTCAGCATGAAGGCCCTGGGATTCATCCCCAGTAATAAAAAAGAAAGAAAGAAAGAAAGAAAAGAAGACACCAAGATGAGTAAGTGGTAATCTCTGTCTTTGATGAAGTCAGGCAAGGAAGGGGCGCCTTATACTCTGACACAGACACAGGCCACAGGTTGCAGCGTAAGTTATAGGGTGTGATGAGTCATTTACAGAGGTGGCAGTGGTGTCAAGGCAGGGGCTCCAACCCTGACCTGTGGAAGCTTCTGAGAGGGATTTCCCCACGGTGCAGCAGGGCTACTGAGCAGTGTGGGAAAGGCAGGGAAGTGAGTGCTCGGGGGAGGGCTCAGAGCGTAAGCAAGAGTTAGGGGAAGAGCACGCCTGTAACTCAGCACTCGAGAGGAGAGGCTGAGGTAAGAAGATCACCATGTGTTTGAGGCCAGCTTGCACTACATAGAGAGACCCAAGGGTCAAAAGGGAGAGGAGGCAGTGCTCCCCAGTCAGCTGGGGGAAGGTGGGGAACAGGAGGCTGAGGCAGGGAGAAGCCAGGTTACAGAGACAACCAAGGAGGAGTTCAAACCAGGATCGACAGGGTCAGACTGTATTTTTTTTTTTTTTTTGTCTTTCTGAGACAGGGTCTCACTATGCAGTTCAGGCTGGCCTTGAGCTCACTTTATAGCCCAGGCTGTCCTCGGACTCGCAACAATCCTCCTGCCTCAGTCTCCCAAGTGCCAGACTGTATGTTTGGAAGGCTCGAAAACTGAAAAGCAGGATGAGCTGTCAGGGGACCTCTGGGCAGTTCGGGAAGAAAGATCGTGAAGACCTGAATGAAGGCCCAGCTGGGGCAGTCAGTGAGGAGAAGGAGTGAAAACCTAGTGACTGAGAGAAGAGTCAAGGGTAACTTCTGGTTTCTGGCTTGGGTGATTGGGTGGTGGGTGCTGGTGCTGCTGACATGAAGATCCTAGTGGGAGAGGGAAGATTATAAGTTTGATCTGAAACAAACTGAACTTGAGGAGTCTGGGAGATGTCCAGAAAGAGAAGTCAAGTACTTTGCTGCTTAAAATGTTATCTGCAGACTAGGAGCAGTGCTTCCCTGGAGGCTTATTAGAGAGGCAGAGTCTTAGGCCCCACCCACGCCTCTTGAATCCCAATCTGTATTTTATTTTATTTTATTTTATTTTATTTTTTTCCAATCTGTATGTTAACAAAACTCCCAGGTATGGTTTTGTTTTTGTTTTTGTTTTTGTTTTTAGACAGGCTCTCACTATGTAGTTTAGGCTGGTCCTGAACTCACTGGATAGCCCAGGCTGGCCTTAAACTGGTGGTGATCATCCTGCCTCAGCTTCCCAAGCGTTGGGATTACAGGTGTGCACCCCATGCCCAGCCACAGTGCTTTATGTACAGACTGAGACGTGCTAAGGTTATCCAATGCACAGAGGGGAACTGAGGATATAAAATGGACTCAGCAGCCATGGGTGATGGTTAAACCGTGAGAATCATTTCCCAGGATGATGTAAGGAGAGGAGAGCAGTTGGGCAAGGATAGCAGCCTGGAAAGTGCTATGCTTGGAGTAGCCGGAGAAGAATCAGAGCCCACCACTTGGCCCCTTGCCTAGCGCACGGCAGACCCCGTACCTGTAGACAGCGTAGGTGTGGTAGTCATTCAGGTAGTCAATGCGATCCTCCAGCTTGTTGCTGCGATGGCTCTTGTCAATGCTGAGGATGAATAGGCTGATGTAGGCATCCAGTGAGAACTGGTACATAGGGTCGATGCAGCCCATGTCGTTGAGCACGAAGAACAGCACGGAGGCCCGCTGTGCACAGGGGCGGTATGCCTGTGGGAGGGGGAGGGGCGGAATGAGGGCCACAGAGGGCAGGACACCAAGGAGCGGCTCGGGATGACCAGAGGTCCTTCTTCTCGGCTGGCGGGGCACAGGGCGGAAGGCACAGGGTGAAAGGCACAGCAGCTCACCTCTCGGGCCATGTCAATGTTGATCTCCGTGGTCTCACTGGTCTCCAGCTGCTCAGTCACCTCGCTGGCAGTTACCTTGGAGGTCTGCAGGGTGTTTACCAGCTGGACGTCGTCTAGCAGGGAGCCGGTGGCCTCATTCAGCAGCCTGGGGTTGGGGAGCCAAGAGAGCACATGGATCAAGGGGCTCAGGGTGCAGGGCTGGGAGAAAGGGCTCACTGGCCCCTGGAACACTAGCTGCGCCTGTGGGTAGACCAGAAAGACGCCAGCAGGGAGCAGAGCAGTGCGGTGGAGGGTAGGTAGAGGCAAAGTCTCACCGGAGGATCTCATCCTCCAGCTCCTTGAGCTTCCTCTTGCCCGCAGCAATGTTGATGACCAGCGAATCTTTCTGTTCCTCCAGCTCAGGCCGTTCCTTCCGCACCACAATGCCTAGCAGTTGGGCTTCCAGGCCCTGGAAGCAGCAGGACTTAGGATAAGGGTCTCCCCTTGCAACCTTCACCCCTGCCATCCTCTCACACCTCCCCCACCCAAGATGCCCATCTTCAGTCGTGCAACACAGGCTTAGCCTTTTTACCAAGTTTCTGCCAAACTCCGCAGCCTCTCCTGCTTCACCCGAGCTCAGTCTGAGCCTCAGCTCTTACCCACCTGTTCTTTGACCGCAAAGTTTACAATGGTGGTCTTGGCTGAGGTCTCCGGGCTGTAGTGGGGATTGGAGAGCTTCGTGGTGATGTAGAAACGGAAGTTGGGGTTATACTCCACCTCCTTGTCTGCAATGCGCATCAGCATCTGGCCACCTGCATCCACAAGAGGACAAAGGCCAAGGGTGGGCCGTGGCCTGAGCCATTCCCCAGTGGTATCTAAAACAGTGATTCAGCCTGCCCTAAAGGGCCAGCCCACGAAGTGGAGGACACAGCCAAAGAGCCTCCGTGCCCTCCCTTGTGTCCTGGTTGGCTGGTCTCTAGGACTTGGCCCATAACCCAAGCCCACAGCAAACCCAGGTGCTGACCAATTTGAGCTACAGATTTGTTGAGCACGGGGTTGAGCGTGGGGTCCAGATATTCCTGCACGTTCTGGAGCAGCACCGGGTTTCCAAACTGGATGGCCTGTTCTAGGACGCGAAGGTAATCACTCATCTGCAGGTCAATGATCTTCAGGCCCTAGACAGCAAGGGGGAGGATGGAAGAAACACCAGGAGACAATGGCCAAGCGTAAGACCTCAAGCAGAGACGAGGCTTGGGAGGGAAGCCTACTGGGGCTGCTCAGCCTGATACCTGGTTTCCTTCCATGTTCTTGATCCATCTCTGGGCCTGGGCCTGAGGGTCAATCATGAGGGCCCACCTGAAGGGGGAGGCATCAGTTGGAAAGCCAGCTCCACTCCTCCTCCGCCTCCCGTCCCCTGCCACATCCTTACCTGTTGCCACGGGTGACGATGATGCCGTTCTCAGTAGAAAAGGCATCGGACGGCAGCCCCTGGATGTTCCAGTCCCGGACTTTGGTAGGGTTGGACAGGAAGTTATCAATGGCGAAGCGAGGTGAGCAAGGAACCTGAAGCTCCCGGATCTGGGGGAAGAAGAGCCCTAAATTTCAACTTGAGTTCAGCAGCCTTGCCTCTCCTCTTCTTTGTATCACTGAATACTCCCCAGACCCCTGGCCCCTACCCCGTTTTAGAGCTCACCCTGAGAACACACCTATACCTAGATATCTCTCTCTCTATCTCTCTGTCTCTGTCTCTCCCTCTCTTTCTCTTTGTTCTTGTGTTTTGTGACAGGGTCTCTCTGTATAGCCCAGGCTGGCCTTAAACTTGTGATCCTCCTGCCCCAGCTTCCCAAGTGCTGGGATCACAGGCATTCGCCACCACACCCTGCTGCCATCTCACCTTCCTGATCCAGATTTGGTTGACAATCTCATCCCGGTAGTTGGTCAGGAAGGGTCCCATGTAGGACAGGAAGGCAGCTGCCAGGAGACAGTCCCCCACCAGGTAGCCAAGATCCTCCTCCAGGCCCTGGTGACAGGTAAGAAGAAGCCACCTGGGCCTCCAGCCCTTTAGGGGACACTTGGAATGCTTTTGAAGGCACTCTCTTCTGGAAACATCTAGATCAAAGAAATTCTTTCCCCGCCTAAACCTCGGTGCTCTGGGAACCTGGTTCTAATTACTTTTGAGTCCCCCACCTCTGGCAGCAATGTTTACCCTCTGGTGATAAGGCCAACCCTTTGCAGAGCCAGGAGCTCGCTGAGGTGGAGACAGGAGGGCTCGTGTCTGCTGTCTGTCAGGCTGGCAGCTGTATCCAGGTCCCTGTGTGCTGCTTTCCAGCCCCACCCAAACACAGAACGGCCCCCGAGGGCCTCTCCCTCTACATTCTCACCCAGTGCATTCCAGACACCCAGGTTCCTGGACAGGACAGGGACAGGGATCTCTTGCGATGGGCTGTCAGAGCTGCCCTGCCCTGTAGCTCTCACCTTCACGGTCTCCTCCCATCGGGCCTTCTCCCCAGCCAAGCCCGAAACCAGCATCCCGGCACGCTCCAGCTTAATCTGCATCTCTTCAGACTTCTTGCGGAGCTCCTCCTTTTGCGCTAGCTTCTCATCATACTGCTTCTTCAGCATCTCCAGTTTTTCCGCCACCTGGGAGGAATCAGAGCACAGAGCGTGGAAGGCAGGGGTCCAGGGCGGATTGTTCCGAATCAAGTCATGCTCTGTGCAACCTTGGGTGAATCTCTCTCTCCCTCTTTTGTGAGGGGCAGGGTTGAGGTAAGGTCTTGCTATGTACTTCAGGCTGGCCTTAAACTCACTTATGTAGCCCAGATTGGCCTCAAACTCACAACAATCCTTCTGCCGCAGCCTCCTGAGTGCTGGGATTACAGGTGTGCACCACCATGCCTGGCTCCAGGCTGGTTATGAACTCAAAGCAATCCTCCTGCCTTAGCCTCCCCAGTGCTGGGATTACAGTCATGGGCCACCACACCCAACTGTTTCTCTCATGCAATTTAGCAAGTCCCGGTCTCAAAATGAAAAATCAAAAGGTCTTGGGGATATATATATATATATCATTGGTAGCACACCCCTGGGTTTGATTGGGGGGGGGTGCGGAGAACAGGAGTAAGTGTGAGGAGATACAATATAGGAGATGAATTTCTTTTTCCTTTCTTCCTACACTCTGTCCTGCAGCACAGAACTACTTGGTAATGCAAATCAAAACTTGGTAGGAAACTGGCTTGGTGATGCACACCTGTAATACCATAATAGCAGCACTTTGGGAGATTAAGGCAGGAAGGTCAAAAACTCAAATCCAGCTGGACATGGTAGCACACACCTATAATCCCAGCACTCAGGAGGCTGGGGCAGGAGTATCACTGTGAATTTTAGGCCAATTTGGGCTACACAGGGAGACTCTCTCAACACACACACACACACACACACACACACACACACCCCTCAAGCCATCCTGGTCAATTTAGCAAGACCCTAACTCAAAATGAAAAGAAAGGATTGGAATGTAGCTCAGTGTGAAGCCCCTGGGTTCAGTGTCCAGCCCTGGAAAAAAGGGAGCGGGCAGGACCTCTTGAAGCCACGGTCCTCTAGCCCATTTCCACAGCCAAGCCCGCTCACGTGAGGCAAGCCACTTTTTAACCATTTCTCTTTTTAATTTTTTCTCTAGTAGTTATCTCCATGTCACTGAAAAACACGCTTATGCCACTGCTCTTAAATGTATGAATCTTGCTCTTGTTCAGTTCTGCTTGGGTTCAGTACCAGCCCTGCAATGAATACATATGTATACAGGAATGTTTCTGTAGTTTTACTTTTTCTTTTTTTTTGCAGTTTTAACTTTTTCAATTAAAAAACCATCATGAAAATTTGCAAGCCTAGAACTACCTTTTAGCTAGATTTAATAATTGTTACCATATTGCTATATTTATCTCGTTTATGAGGGTTTTTTTCTCCTTGCCAAAGTATCTTAAAGCACATTACAAACTCATGAAATTTCAAGCCTAAATATTTCATCTGTAGAAAAAATAAAAATAAGGACATTTTCTTCATGACCATAGCACCATGATTATACCTAATAAAACCTTTGTCATATTTTAGAAAATAATTTCACTATTTGTCTATTTTTTGTTTTTGTCTTGTTTTGCTTGAGACAGGATCTTTCTACCCAGCCCAGGCTGACCTCAAATTCACAGCAATCCTCCTGCCTCAGTCTTCCAAGCAGCGGGATTAAGGCTATACACCACACAATCAGCGTATTTGTTTTGAAGCATGAATACATTCACAAAAATCAAAATTCAAAAGCAAGAACAGTATGTACAACGAGGGATAAGTCATCCTGTCATTCCTGACCCAGCCCTGGCCTGCCTTAGTTTCTTGTGTAGCGTTCTAGAAAATTCCACAACAGAATAGGGACTCAGTAGTTTATGGAAAAGGAAACTATAAGCACTGAGGTGACAATGGAGTTGTTCAGTATCAAATCCTTAGACCTAAAATAATGCCAGCACTCAAATGCTTTTTGGATTTTTTTTTTTTTTTACAGTACTAAACATCAAACCCGAGCTTCACACATGCTAAGCAAGAGCTCTACAACTAAGCGTGGTGATGCACGCCTGTAAAACCATAATAGCAGCACTCAGCCCCAATGAACAAATTTTTACATAAAGATTGACAGTTACATACTACAACATTGGTCTGTACTCCTTTTTAGTCCTTCACTAGTTTTGAGTTTTGTTTTGTTTTTGCAGTGATGGGGGAAGAACCAAAGGCCTCACACCTGTTGGGCAAGTGGTCTACCGCTGAGCTGCACCCCCAGCACATCTGTTAGGTTTTTAATTTGGGAATAAATGCCTTTTATCTGTTTTGTTTTTACATTGCTGAGTCTCCACCCCAGGCCTAGCACATATTAGGTAAGCACTCCAGCTGAGCTGCGTCCTTAGCCCTGCGTTACTGTTTTTTATTTTATTTTTTTGGTACCGGGAATCAAACTCAGGACCTTGCACTTGACAGGCAGGCCCTTGTGCCCCTGAGCTATATCCCTGGCCCATTATTGTTTTTAACAGCTGCAAAATAATCTTGGGTGTGATTGAACCACAATTTATTTATCTGTCCAAGTCTGCTGTGGACAGACATTTGTAGTTTTCCAACATTCTGGTATTATTCTCTGTGCTCTAATGAGTATCCTTATATGTGCATGAGCACACAGTCACACTGTTATTTCTTCTTTTCTTTTAATTCCATTTATTTTGTGAATAGGGATTTAAAAATTCCAAAGGCACGGGAGCATGAAAAAAATCTTCCTCCCAACCCCATTCCTAAATTCTACCTACCCAAGTCCTTTCTCTTAGAGGCAGCCAGCGTTACCTGTTGCACCTCCTTCCAGAAATACCCTATTCATACACAAGCGTAGTAGGGCCAGGATATAACTCAGTGGCACAAGCGCCTGCCTGGCAAGTGCAAGGTCCTGAGTTCGATTCCTGGTGCCAAAAAAAAAAAAAAGATTTCATACCCAAGTGTATTCTACACTGCTGTTTCCTCATGTATCAATTTTACTTTATTTTCCTTGTTTGGTCTTTTTAAGACAGGGCCTCGCTATGCAGTTCAGGCTGGCTTTGAGCTCACTTTGTAGTCCAGGCTGGTCTCAAACTCTCAATGATCCTCCCACCTCAGCCTCCAGAGTGCTAGGATTACAGGTGTGCACCACCACGCCTGGCCTTATGTATCAATTTTAGATTATTTTATTCACTATATGCTCTGACAGATGAAGATTTCCTTATACCTCCGCATCACTACCCATATCTATCTACTAACACTTTAGTTACCTTGTCAGTATAAATAACATATAAAACCTCATTTGACCAGACCAGGAGTGCTGCTCAGTGGTAACGCATGTGCTTAACAAGCACAAGGCCCTGAGTTCTATTCTTAGCACCACAAATAACAAATCGCTTCCCTTTATTCTGTCTCCTACAGAAGCACGGCCTGCTTTTTTCTTCACCATCCCCTGCACCTACTTTCTCAGCTATGCTTTTATTTTTACTCTGTCAAGGTTGCTAACATTTGCATTTAGAGGCCACAACTAATCCTCAGTGCTTTGCCTCAAGGCTGGTTAGAAAGGGTGAAGGTCACAAGCAGCATTGACCTTAACATGACGAGACGGTGAGCACCAGGCTGTCTGGCTCAGTTGCTTGTGACCCAGGCACACTGGGGTGGGTCAAGCACATGATGAACTGGTTGTTAAATATATGTTATCCTTCACTGTGTTCTTTCTTTCAGAAATTCTCAGTGATTGGATTGTATGTTGCTATCAATTAGGTTAAATTTGCTTTTTTTTTTTTCGGTCTTTTTGAGACAGGGTCTCAGTACACAGTTCAGGCTGGCCTTGAGCTCACTTTGTAGCCCAGGCTGGTCTGGAACTCAAAATGATCCTCCTGCCTCAGCCTCCCAAGTACTGGGATTACAGGCATGCAACACCATGCCTGGCTAAATTTGCTTTTTACATTCTTTTCTATAACCTGAATTATCTCTGCCTTTTCCCCTCTCTGGAACCATGTTTTATGATTATTTTATTTTATTTTATTTTGTGTGTGTGTGTGTGTGCCAGGAATCAAACTCACAAACTTGGGCTTGCCAGGCATATAATTTTTTGTCTTAGAGTTTTACTTCCACACTGGGAGGCTCCCTCCACCCTTTTACTTGCCTCATCTCTAGAGCTGCTCTGGTGACACTGGGAAGGATAAAGCAGGGATGTTCGCCTGGGTTCCAAAGACTTCCCTTTGGAAGTAAGCAGAACCACAGAGAACACAAGTTCCCTTTGGCCCTTCAGTGGCGGGAGGGAGGTATCTGGCCCAACGTTACCTAAGATCAGGCACTGCGGGGCCTCTCGCCTACAAACTTCATCCCATCTTCCAACCTATGTCCCTACAGGTTATAAAAGTGGTATTTTGGTGGATCAGTTTTAGTTTTACTTCTCAAAAAAAATTTTTTTTGTTTTGTAACAGGGTCTCACTATGTAGCCCAGGCTGGCCTTGAACTTGTGCCAATCCTCCTTTATTGGCCTCCTGAGTGTGGGATTACAGCCTGGATCAAAAACAAAAACTTTTTTTTTTGAGAGAGAGGGGTCTCACTTCTGTTGCCCAGGCTGGCCTTAAACTTGTGGTTTTCATGCCTACGCCTCCTGAATATCTGGGACTACAGATACGAACTACGACACCTTGCTTATTCCTCAATGTGTTTAGAATCTAGGTATTAAAATAAGGTTGCCAACTACTGAATCCTCTCAAGAGTATATTTGCAAACCAGAAAAACACATCACAAAGAGTTGCGTGAGTGTTGGGGGGGTGGCGCTGTAGGTGTGCACAGGCGCCTGGGCTTAAGTGATTTGTAGAGGCTCATTTGAAGCAGGTGGCTTTTTAGATTCGTGTGGTTGACTTTCAACCATGTAGACTGGGTGAAAGGTTTTAAACCTATCACACGTTACCTTGACCTTGGCAGGTGACACAAGTGACTGGCTGCTTCTACAGAGGCAGCACAGTCTGAAACAGGGCAGCTTCAGGGAAACGGCTTGGGCCGCTTTGACCTTGGCAAAGGGGAAATGTGGGCCATAAGGGTGACCTTAACTAAGAGGTGGGACTACTACA